CAGTTCGTCTTTTCAGTGTACTTAAAAATTAATTTAATTGATTAGCTTATTAGTAGTGATATAATCAGTTCATCTTTTCAGTGTACTTAAAATTAATTTAATTGATTAGCTTATTAGTAGTGATATAATCAGTTCATCTTTTCAGTGTGCTAAAGTTTAAATCAAAGAAATTTTTTAAGTCTTACCAATTGTTGTTTCCTTAATGGATAAAGTAATTCGGAGTTTTGGAGTTGTTGTTTGATATTTGTAAGCTTTCTTCTTGCATACTTCACATCTAACAATTGCTTTTTAATTTTCACTCTATCGTAAATGAGCAAACGTATCGTTGAACAGTATCTATCCACTCCCATAGTTCGTTTCTAAAATAGGAAGAAATGAAAATGTTTGTTTGTACATTTGAAATAGAAATATGATAAATAAACAAAGTATGAGGAAATTTTTAAAATGAATTTTGCAAGAAAAATTTCCAAAATTTTAATAATAATTTTAGACAAATCAAAGATGTTATTGTTTATTGATAATGGTATACATATATGAGTGAATTTTGTAATAGATTACTTGAAGTGCATCTAATTTAATTAAATCATTTTCCATTTCATAGATACTTGACAATATATCATTTTCAGATGACCTTTCTGCAATCAGTTTATCTATCAAAAATTATGCACAGTTGTAAGTTGTAACCTGTATGATTTATGATGACAGGAATGACAACGCCTCTGTTTTCTTTTTGTTTTTTTTTTTTTTTTTGTACAGAACTTGAAATTGATGGAATTAAGCAACAATGCTTTAAATCCAAATAGCACGTTTGTTAGCTAATCAAAGATGAAAATTTTCCCACTAATAAATACCTTGAAAAATGTTAACTTCATTTGGGTAACATTGAATAGATGACATATGACAAATGCTTGGATCGGATTCCAATGACATACGTATACCTTTCAGTATAAACAACCGAGATTGGATATCATATTTCATATAATTGAAAATTTTCATCAATTTACTTTCCACATTTATACATTTGTCCTGTATCTGTAAATATTTTTCGACAAATATTGATATTTCGATATATGACAATAAGATCAAATCTGAATGATATATTTTATCCAGTTAATTGCATTTGTCAATTTTGAAATCTAAAAATTCAAATTTAGTTTAACTTATATGAATTTAATAATTATGCTGAATAAATTTTTAAATTTAGTTTAACCAATTTATGACCATAACGATAAAACAATGTACATTTTCAAAAATATTAAAGTTATTCATAGAATAAATCAAATAAGTAGCATAAATTTTCTAAGAAACTTATAATAAATTTATCCATTCTATAAGTAAAGTATTATTATATTAGTATTTTTATTTCATTTATTTTTCTGTTTGGAAACATCAATAAAATTGTAATCAATTTCAATCCTATATGATCAACTGTTTTTAGCTTCTAAAATTTGTTACAATTTCAAATTTAACTAACATTAATAATATCAGTTATATCATCATGTATGCATTCGTAAGTTTTATCGGTTAAATTTTTGACTTTCTTTTCCCAATTCATTTTAATCAATTGAAAATGAGCATCCTTTATTAAATCATTCAACTTTCTCATTTCCTGCTCTGAGGAATTTTTTCTTGTTTTATGACGATTATCTAAATATTTTATGGTTCAATGATTATGTTTAGGGAAGAAATGGGCAAATATTCAAAGCTAATAAATGCAATCTTATTATTTCAAATCATTAATTAATTTTATTACACTAACTATTAATAAATTAACATTAGCTAATGTAATTTATTGTAAAAAAATGGTTGAAAAAAGTTGGGGTATTGAATTTTTGCATATTTATTTCGAATATAAATAAATTACATATTTTTTGATTATTGCAAGAAAAGAAGTCAAACATAATTTGGTAAATAAAAAAATAGAAGCTATAACGAAACTTTCAAATACTTTTGTTGTTAAATTTTCAGAAAAACAATAAACGACGTACGAAATCTTTCGTCAACGGAAGTGGGCGATGGAAACATTACACAGCCGCCTTTCACTTATCTTTAAATTATTAATGGCATACCATGTCTAACAATTATTGTTATCTATTAATATTACGTCGCATCAGCATCATTGTATTTGCTATTTATTATTATTATTATTATTATTATTATTATTATTATTATTATTATTATTATTATTATTATTATTATTATTATTATTATTTATTATTATTATTATTATTATTATTATTATTATTATTATTATTATTATTATTATTATTATTATTATTATTATTATTATTATTATTATTACTTATTATTATTATTATT